CGGGGCGCAGGCCTCCGAGGGAGGGGCCTTGCTGGGCGCCAGGCCCTCCTCATGGCAGCGGTAGCGCTCGAAGGTGGCCCGGCGCTCCAGGGCCGCCGCGTCTCCCCCACTGAACATCTCCAGCACCAGGACCCGAGGCAGCAGCACCAGCTGCGGAGGGGGGCAGGGCAGGGTGAGGTGGGACCCAGGGCCATAAGGGTACCGCCTGCCAATCACTGAGGTGGCACCGCACTGGCCGCCTCTTCTGCCCGACTCCTCCCATCCAGCCACCACGGGGGGCCTGGCCATCTTGGTCGGTGGGGAAGGGACTGCTCACCGAGTCAATGAGCAGGCTGGGGGCCTCGGGCTGGGCGCGCCCCCCTGTTCTCAGCAGCTTCAGCTGCAGCTTGTACGAGACGCCAGGCTCCAGGCAGACAGGCCTGGGCAGCACCACGGACCTGGGGGCACGGAGGTCAGGCATGGGAGTCACCCAGGGTCCCGTACCCACAACCGTGGGTCCTCCCCGCCACACACAGAGCAGCCGACCACTGCCCAGGCCAGCAGACAGCTGGGCAGCCCGACCAGGATCCTTCATATCTTTCTGGGGTCACACGCCTGCGCAGAGCAGTCTCGCGAGAAGCACTCTGTACGACCCCGCAACCCCCAGTGGCCTCTTCACACTTGCTCTGACCTTGACCTCCACCACCAACCTCTGCTCTTCTTCACCAAGACGGCAGCACTTCCCCTCGCCCCTCTCTCCTGGGTCACCCCCTCCAGCAGCCCTCCCGCACCCCTGGTGTCCCCCAGCTGATGCATGTCTTTGCTCTCCTTCCCAACAAATTCCTGAAATTCTGCTACAGTCCTGCCTCCCGCTCTAGCCTCCCATTCCAGTGGGGTCTCTGTCCCAACAGGCCTTCTCCCAGCCACAAGGCAGGTCACCAGTGACCTCCGGGAGCCAAGCCCCGCAGCCACTGCTGCATCTTATCTGCTCACATTCAGCAGCGATGAGGTCAGCGCCCCTTCCTCCCAGACAGGCTCTCCTCGCCCTGCCGCCCTGCCCGGGACCTGCCTCACTCCTGACCCCCCTCCTCCCCAGCTCCTCCGCTGCTGCCTGACACGAGGGTCCCCCAAAGCCTGGCTCCGGGCTTCCTGCCTTCCGCTGGTGGGTTCATCTAAACCCATCTCTTCTTTTTTCTTAAATAAAATTTTTTTTTATTGATTTCAGAGAGGAAGAGAGGGAGAGAGAGAGAGAAACATCAGTGATGAGAGAGAATCGTCGACTGGCTGCCTCCTGCATACCGCATACCCCACACTGGGGATCGAGCTTACAACCCGGGCCTGTGCCCTGACTGGGAATCGAACGTGACCTCCTGGCTCATAGGTCGATGCTCAACCACTGAGCCACGCTGGTGGGTTTAGTGACATGTCCAAATGTATATCTCCAACTTCAGCTCTCGCAGTTACTCCAGAAACCGAAACCCAGCCACCCCTGGCCTAGCGCCGGTGTCTGAGGTCTCAGAACTGCTCGTCCCAGGTCCGCGCCTCAGTAAACAACCCACCCCCATCCCGAGGCCCAAACCCAAAGCCCAGAGCCACCTTCCACCTTCCACCTTCCACCTTCCACCTTCCACCTTCCACTCCTCCCCCACCTGGTAAGCCTTCGGCTCTGGCGCTCGAACCCTCTGCAGCCTTGCTCTTCTTGCCACCTCGACTGCTACGCCTCTGTCCAACCCCTGCCACTCAGCCAACCCAACAGCCCCCAGCGCCTCCCGGCTTCCACCGCGCCCCTATGTCTCTTCTCCACTCAGCAGCCAGGGCGGTCTTTGTGCAGCACAAGTCACGGTTGGCAAAATGTCTATAAGGGCTCAGGCAGGTTCATTATTCCATTCTCTCTGCTTTGGTGTCTATTTGCATATTTACATGATAAAATGTCTAAAAAGAAGTGATGAAAAAGTAGACATGAGACGAACACCATCCAAAATGTAATAAGACAGCCCTGGCATCGGCCTGCGGACCGAAGGGTCCCGGGTTCGATTCTGGTCCAGGGCACATGCCCGGGTTGTGGGCTCGATCCCCAGTGCGGAGCGTGTAGGAGGCAGCCAATCAATGATTCTCTCTCATCACTGATGTTTCTCTCTCTCCCTCTCCCTTCCTCTCTGAAACCAATAAAATATATAAAACAAACAAACAAATGAAAAACCAACAAAATGTAAGGAGACAGTAACCAGCTCAGGCGCAGACTCGGGTGCTGAGTGTCCCCTTCCCGGGGGCGTCCCCGCTGGGTGAACGGCTTCCCTGCGTCCCCGTCTTGGCCGCAGGGACTGAGTGCCCCTTGGGGAGAGCTGACTTCATTCTGCCCACTTCCTTCCTCTGACCAGGGCCGTGCCCCGCTCAGGAGGGGCAAGCGAAGGGCAGTGGGGGCTTCTCAGGTGCCCCGTGGGGGGCTGCCCTCAGGCCCTCACCTGGCGTCGGGTTGCAGCGTTCCTGAGATGCGGTCATCCTTGGGCAACACATGCCCACAGGGGCTGCGAGCAGACACAGGCCCCGGGCGCTGCACGGCTACCTCGAGCTCCGCCCACTGCTCGGGGACCTGGGGGACAGGACAGTGAGGAAGTGCCCCTCCTGCGAGGCGCAGCTCCGGGCAGTGCCACGGGTCTGACCTGGGGCTCCAGGCGCAGCAGCAGGTCGTAGTCCATGGCTTTGGGCACGGAGGTCACGAGGAAGTCCAGCGCCTGGCCTGCCTGCAGCCTGGCGACGCCCAGACCTGTCCAGGACGGGGCTGCCCCGGGGACGGCCAGGCGCTCCACCACAGCCACCTGCTGGAGACAGGCTGTGTGGCTCCCTCTTCCGCCACCACCTGCCCCCAAGC